TTGGGGGTCCAGAACAATGACACACTGACACTTGGGGCCCCAGAACAATGACACACTTGACACTTGTGGGTCCAGAACAATGACACACTGACACTTGGGGGTCCAGAACAATGACACACTGACACTTGAGGGTCCAGAACAATGACACACTGACACTTGGGGGTCCAGAACAATGACACACTGACACTTGGGGGTCCAGAACAATGACACACTGACACTTGGGGGTCCAGAACAATGACACACTGAGACTTAGGGGTTCAGAACAATGACACACTGACAATTGGGGGGCCCAGAACAATGACACACTGACACTTGTGGGGCCCAGAACAATGACACACTGACACTTGGGGGTTCAGAACAATGACACACTGACACTTGGGGGTCCCAGAACAATGACACACTGATATCACTCTCTCCGTCTAATCTATGGAGACCTTTACATTAAACATCCCAGAATAATGGCCTGCTATAGAACCCCGGAGCCAGCATGTGGGGTGGATTCACACAAGACTCAGCCTGCTGCGCACATCTATTGCTCACGGCTCAATTTTCAGTGTTATGCATATTATAATTCATGAAAATGTACATGAAAGATCTCCCGGCATCGCCGATTATCCTCCGGTTCCATCTTCCGTCTCCTCCGCCGCATCACAAATAAGAATCCAGAGAGTGATAATTGTCGGAAGGAAGAGAATTTTCGGATCCCGTTAGATGATTCCGTCGCGTTGCTGAAATCATTATCTCACCTAAACAAGTTCTCAATTGTCGCTCCGCGTTCACAGAACCCAATTCCCGCCCTCGAACGGCATTCCACGGCGTCGCGCCACCCCTCAGCGACAAGGTGCTAATTGCATTTGAAATATCCCAACTCTGCGAAAATAAAAGTCCCATCAAAATCCCCCCCGAGATTCCATTTGCGGAATATTGTATCTCAGCGTTATTGCTGCTAAAAAAGTATCTTTTGTTTTACGGAGGTGATTGCATTTCATTTCTTTGTTTTTTCCTAATTGCATTGGCCGGAGGGGGGTATCAGTTAAAAACGCAGACTCTTCGTGACCCCCGACGACGCATTGTTCTTTGCAGATTTACAAAAACGAGGCAGAAGGACGGAAAATTAGCTGCGGCGGAACTTCTTTCCACAAGTAAAATGGACATATTGGATATTACGTTTGGCCGTTTTAGAGCTCTGTATAATCAGTATCTAGACTGGTTACAGTCCAGGTATCTCTAAATTGAATAGCGACATTTTAGAGGGCGCTACACAAGCTAGGCATTTGCCTAGGGCGGCACTTTCCAGGGGGCGGCAGTTTCTGCAAAGAGTCTGAATTACCAGGCAGGAGGAAGCATTCCCTCAGTCTCCCCTCCCCCAGTGATCAGACTGCTGCAGGCAGGAGGAAGCATTCCCTCAGCCTCCCCTCCCCCAGTGTTCAGTCTTCTGCAGGCAGGGGGAAGCATTCCCTCAGTCTCCCCTCCCCCCAGTGATCAGACTGCTGCAGGCAGGAGGAAGCATTCCCTCAGTCTCCCCTCCCCTAGTGATCAGTCTGCTGCAGGCAGGAGGAAGCATTCCCTCAGCCTCCTCTCCCCTAGTGATCAGTCTGCTGCAGGCAGGAGGAAGCATTCCCTCAGTCTCCCCTCCCCCCAGTGATCAGGGAAGGGGGAGATACATTCAGAATATACTTCATCTTTCCATTGTTGTGATTGAGTCGGTGTGTTTTTGTGTCTTTCAGGTCTCCCGGCTCTGGTTGTGGCAATATCGGTCGGTTTCACCAAAGCGAAGGGGTACGGCTCAGCGAACTAGTAAGTCGTTTATGTTTTACATTCTGATTTTATTTATTATAAGAGGCACATTAAGCTGAGAGAACTCCATGACGCCGTGCAGGCTCCACCCCCTCCGGGCCTGCATTTTATGAATGGGCAGCAACATGCTGGCCGCGTTATGGAGCGATCCCATACCCTCCTAACCCTGAGAGTCTCATGCTCTAGCGACTGAGC